AACTGCAGATGATGGAGAATCTGAGATAACAAGGTGTAGAGCTGGATGGACACAGCAGGCCATGCAGCATCAGAGGAGCAGGAAAGCTGACATTTCGGGCCTAGACCCTTCTTGGGTCTAGGCCCGAAACGTCAGCTTTCCTGCTCCTCTGATGCTGCTTGGCCTGCTGTGTTCATCCAGCTCTACACCTTGTTATCACTGTAGTTTGGTGTGTGGTTACAGTATCAGGGCTTTTTCAGGACAGTGATACCGATACTCTCTAATGTGTGTGTATCTGCAATCGCTATCTCCCTATCGAATCTCCCCAACTCTCACTCCTTGGCAAGTAGAGCGAGTTGCAGAGGCCGGGATACACAATTTTTGACAAGTATCAGAAGATCATGAGAAATAGGAACAGCAGTAGGCCTCTCCCAGCGTCTCGAGCCTGCTAATCCATTCAACAGGATCATGGCTGATCTGACTGTCCTCACATCCACTTTCTTGCCCTTCCTTGTAACCCTTGATTCCCCAACTGACCGAGAATCTATCTCAGCCTTAAGAATATACAAGGATTCTGCCTGCGCAGCTCTCTGTGGTAAGGAGTTCCAAAAACTCTCAACCCTCTGAGAGAAGAAGAAATTCCTCCTCATCGCTGCCTTAGTTCTGAGAAAGTACTTGGTGTGGGCAATGACGTGCTGAGTGAGAGTATATAAGAGGAGGGAACTAATGACAAATCACAGCAACGGAGCTCCGCCATTGTTTCAATCTCCCAGCTACCGGGAGAATAAGAATAAAGATTTGTCGATAACGCAGACAGAATGCCAATCATGGCAACTTGTAGCAGGCGCCGTCAAAAGTTGGAGGAGGAGGTAAAGCATCACAGCTGAGTGGGTCAAAGAGCAAGTGGCACACATGACATGTTTGTTAATTTGTTTCAAGGTTAAAGATATACGGTTGCAGTATAATGTGGATGAATGTGAGATAACCCACTTTAGTAGCAAAAACAGGAAGGCAGATTATTATCTGAATGCTGATAGGTTGGGAAAGGGAGAGGTGTAATGAGACCTGGGTGTCCTTGTAAACCAGTCGCTGAAAGTAAGCATTGCAGATACAGCAGGCAATGAAGAAGGGAAATGGTACATTGGCCTTCATAGCGAGAGGATTCGAGTACAGGAGCAGGGATGTCTCACTGCAATTGGACAGGGCCTTAGTGAGGCCACCCCTGGAGTATTGAATGCAGTTTTGGTTTCCTTATCCAAGGAAGGAATTACTGACTATGGAAGGAGTGGAATGAAGTTTTACCAAATTACTTCCTAGGATGGCAGGACTGACATATGAAGAGGAACTGGATCAGTTAGGACTACATGCACCTGAGTTTAAAACAGTGAGGGTTTGGGAGGAATCTCGTAGAAACCTTTAAAATTCTAACAGAACTAGACAGGCTAAACACAGGAAAGGTGTTTCCGATGACCCAGGGAGTCCAGAACCAGGGGGTCACAGTCCCAAGGATACGGGGTAGGACTGAAATGAGGATAAATGTCTTCACCCAGAGAGTGGGAAGCTTATGGAATTCTCTGCCTCAGAAAACAATTGAGGCCAAAACATTGATATTTTTCAAAAAGGATGATGAGTAAAGACTGTTTGCCCACTCTTTGGAATGGACGTGGAATTCCCATGAAGGTCATTGGGGAAAGAAAAGAGCAGGGAAGCTTTCTGCTCAGTTGTGAGCCCATTGTTTTCTCCGCCAACTAGAATTATTAGAATAAGTCATCAGACTTCACCACATTGAGTGACTTGTTTCTTATCCTGCTCAAATTAGCCAGTATGCTTATATTGTTAGGCTGAAGGGCCTTCATGGGCTCTTTAAGGCTTGATCAAAATAAATAAAAGAAGAAACTTCAATGCATAGCAAATTGATTAGCTTAATCTACTTAATATATTTACAAAGTAAATGAGTGAATCTATTAACAACCTACTTTATAGACAAACTAATGAGACAACCTATTACCTTAACCTACTTTATTGTGGTACAAACTAATGAGTCTCACTACCTTCTAGCTCACTGCGGACTGGAGCTGGAGGCACTTGGAGCTTTATCTCAGTTTCCATCGTCCCAATCTCATGAACCCCAACCCAATGATGAAAGTCCAACGAGTGGGACAAACTCCCCAGTGTTAATACCATTTTGAATCTAAGGTTACGTGCTATATCATCATTTCTTAGTACTTTCCTGGGTACTCTGTTGTGTGAAAAAAGGTTGGAAAAACACCTCCAGGTGTCTCCATGTTTTCTGCAAGGTCACCAGCTCTACCTTCCAGCCAAAACAGGAGTTTTTTTAACACTAGGTCTATTTTTAATGCAGCTTCCCATTTCCTTTACTCATTACCATGCCCAATTAACCCTTAATGAGAGATCATTTTTTAAGCCCAACGCTACAATGTTCCGAACGAGTCAACAGTTGCTCCACCTCAAAGTTAGCCTGCAAGCTTTCGTGGTGTTTTAAAGTGGTGAAAGGATCTCTATAAAAGGAATTTCTTTTCTTTTCAGACCTATTAACACATTACTCTAAGGACATCGAAGAGAATTCCCCACAATTTGCGGCAAATGTTGAGCATCAAAGTGAAGCGGTATTTGACCTTTGCAAATGGCCTCTTCGAGTGTCTGTGCTTCGCAGGTGTCATCTTTGGTTGGGCGTCCCTTGTCTTTGTACTGAAGAAGGAGGGATATTTCCACGATCTCTGTATCCCAGTCAGCAACACTAGTCACCATGGAGAGAGAAACAGCACCAGTAAGTGCATCGCTGACAGTGTGCAAGAGAGACAGAGTGAAAGGGAAAAGAACAGGATGTGGGGGCGTGGCAGTGAGACAGAGAGGTTGCGGAGTGTCGAGGGAGACGTAAGGTGAGGAAAGGGAAAAGGGGGATCAGGAATTATTGATTGCAAGGGTCACGCATCCTTGCCTCAGACATTGGCCAAAATATGATCAGCTTTGATCTTATGGACCAAACCAAACCCCCTCAAAACATATCAAGGACATAGCCTAGACCCTAGCTTTTATCTTACTTAAAGGCAAGTGAAAGGCTCTGTGTTCCAGATATGATTCAATTGGTCAAAATACTAGGCTTTAAGCAAAACCCTCTTTATTCTTACACCACAGTTGAAATACAAACAAAAAAAATTGGCATAATTTTAACTCTTTAGAAATGTTTTACAAGATAATACATTACTTAACTACTACTCGTCAACTATTCCAATACAGCAGCATCCCATAAATGTACCCTTGCAAAAGCACATTCAGCAAAACAGATTGCCCTCACTTGCTATCTCCTCCAATCCCAGAGAAGGAACACCAACAGAGTGAATTGAGCAGCAGCGAGAGACCTTGAGCTTCTGCAGCAGCAGAGAGAGAGCTGTATCCAGCAGCTTCAACTCCAAAACCCCAACTTCAACAATTCAAAGCAAAAACTAAAACCTTTGGTCAGTGTGAACCTGACTGCAGCCACTCTTGCTTCTTTTGTCTACTTTAAAAGAAAATCCCAAAGCTATTTACTATGCGTTCCATGGTACACACCTCTCAGCACCACCTCTCTCTAAGAGAAACAGGACAGAACAAATCTCTCTTAAAGGCACATTTTGTCCCACTTGACAAAAACAAGTCTCACCGTCTGACCTTAATTTTCAACAGTATTTCGGAGGCTACACAGTCTCCATAAACATCATAGGGTTTACTGTTGAACAGAGATTTAATTGGACCAGAAATATAGCTGAAAGAGCAGCTAAAAGAGTGGTCCAGAGTCTGTTAATTCTGCCCTAGTAACTCACATCTTTACTCTCCAAAGCTGGTCCAAGACATGAGTCAGGTCAGGCAAGGGATGATATATTCTGATGATCTAGTATATTGGTGATATATTCTAAAGGGAGGCAATGACCTAGTGGTATTATCATTAGACTATCAATCCAGAGACCCAGGTAATGTTCTGGGGAACGAGGTTCAAATCCCACCATGGCAGACAGTGGAATTTGAATTCAATAAACTCCAGGAATAAGAGTCAAATGTCGATGACTGTCAGTAAAAACACATTTGGTTCACTCATGTCCTTTAGGGAAAAGAAATCTGTCAGCGTTACCTGTTCTGAATTACATGTCACACACAGCAATGTGATTGACTTTCAATTGCCCTCTGGGCAATTAGGGATGGGCAATAAATACTGACATTGCCAGCAATGTCCATGTACTGTGAATGAATTAAAAAGATATATTATTGGCTGTATAAGTGCGGCTACATCAATATTCAAGAATACAAGCACCAATCAGTGCAAAAACCTTTCTCTTGATCTATACTCAAACCACTTCCTGGAACATTGCCTTTAATTTTAATGAGAAATGAAGTGGTGCTCCTTTCAAATCCAGAATGTGTTTCCCAAATCACATTGTAAATGTGAAGGTGTAATATGGGCTGCAGCATTACCAAAGCCTTCAGCACCTCCTCTGGCAGCTCATTCCATGCACACACCACCGTCTGCATGAAAAAATTACCCCTCAGATCCTTTTTAAATCTTACCCTTCTCACCTTAAATCTATGCCCTGTAGTTCTGGATTCCCTGACCCTAGGAGAAAAAGACCTTGGCTAGTCCCCCTATCTATGCCCCTCATGATTTTATAAACCTCTATAATTAATGAAATAGGATCAACTGCAACGTGAGACAACCTGATTCCATGAACTGTAAGACTTGAAAACTCAGAGCAGAGGCACCACTGTCAAAGACTAATCCCCATTACGTTGGATCCTATTACTGATTAAAAATCTTGAATATACTTAACGACCCAGCATCGACAGCCCTCTACAATAAAGGTCTCCATAAAAATTCACTACTCTGTGGTTAACAAAAATGTTCCTAATCTCTTTCCTCGCAATGTGAGCCCTTCGTCTGAGACGATGCCCTCTGGTCCTAGACTTTCCTCCAGGTAGAAACAACCTCTCTGCATCTACCCTCTCAAATCCTCTAAGAATCTTGTACGGTTTAATAAAGGCTCCTGTCATTCTTCTCACTCCAGTACGGACCTAAACCTATCCTCAGAATAAAATCCTTCCTTCCCTGGTATTCGCCTAATGAAACTTCTCAGGACTGCTTCCAAGGCCAGTATATTCCTCCAATTTAGAGGACAGAAGTGTACAAAGTATTCTAGATGTGGCCTAGTTTGTTTTTTTGTTCACTCATGGGCGTTGAGCATTGCTTGCTGGGCCCAGCATTTATTGCCTGTCCTTAGATGCCCTTGAGGAGGTTGTGGTGAGCTGCGTTCTTGAAGTGCTGCAGTCCTTGTGCTGTAGGTAGACCCACAATGCCCTGAGGGAGAGAATTACAGGATTTTGACCCAGTGACAGTGAAGGAATGGTGATGTATTTCCAAATCAGGGTGGTGAGATTCCCTCTATTTTTTGTCTCCTCTACCCTTTGAAAAAGACCTTGGTTATTCACTCTGTCCATGCCTCATATTTTAATAAACCTTTATAAGGTCACTCCACTTGTTAATCATTTCTGCACCTTTCAAGTTTCACAACATCCTTCCCATAGCAAGGAGACCAGAACTGAATGCAGTATTCCAAAGTGGACTAACCAATGTCCTGTACAGCTGCAACATGACATCCCAACTCCTGTACTCAATGCACTGACCAATAAAGGCAAGCGTACTAAATGCCTGCTTCACTACCCTGTCTACCTGTGACTCCGCCTTTAAGAAGCTATGAACCAACGGTCTCTTTGTCTGGCAACTTCTTCTCTCTCCTCTTCCTTTCAGGTCTCTCACTTACCCCCTCCCCTCGACCCCACTTCACTGTCCCTGTTTTTCACTCACTGTCATTGTCTCTCCTCCTTCCTTTGACCCAGTGGACTGTGATCTACAGGATCAGCACTTCACCCTGGCCTTCACACTGGCATCGTTCTCCCTCTGTTTCATCACCCTGCCTTGCGGATTCCTCTTTGACTACTGTGGCACAACGGTAACCAGATTCTTGGCCATGTGAGTTCTCAACTTTTTATCTGCCTAGGTTGTCGATTCTGTTGGGTTGCTTATTTGCTTTGGGGCGAAATATGGGAGCTGGGCAGGACAATGAGGGGTCCGGTTATGGGGAGCAGAGAAGGACAATGAAGTCCGAGGAATCACAAGTCTGAGAAATTCATGAGGGGTTTGGACAGAGAAGATCAAGGAAAGATGAAGAGGCAAGGGGCAGGCCGAAGATGAAGAGCAGGGAGTGAGGATAAGTAAGCTTACGAGTGACATAAAGATTGGCCGAGTGGTTGACAGTGAGGAGGAAAGTGTTAGTTTACAGAAGGATATTAATGGATTGGTCGGAGGGTCATTTTTGATTTGATTTGATTTATTATTGTCACATGTACCGGGCTACAATGAAAAGTGATGTTTTGTGTGCTACTCAGGCAGACTGAACCATACAAAGTGCATCAAGGCAGCAGAACAGAGTGCAGAATACAGTGTTACAGCCATAGGTAAGGTGCAGAGAGAGAAAGACATCGACATTAACCTTTGAGATGTCCATTCAAGAGTCTGATGATAGTGAGGAAGGAACTATTCTTGAATCTGTTCAAACCTTTATATCTTCTACCTGACGGAAGAAGGTGGAAGAGAGTATAACCAGGGTATGAGGGGTCTTTTATATGTTGATTGCTTTTCCGAGGCAGCGGGAAGAACAGGTGGAGTCAATGGATGGAAGGCTGGTTTGCGTGATGGACTGGCCTGTGTTCATGACTCTCTGCAGTTTCTTACAGTCTTAGGAAGAGCAGTTGCCAAACCCAGATAGGATGCTTTGTATGGTGCATCTATAAAAATTGGTAAGTCTTTATGGACATGCCAAATTTCCTTAGCCTCCTGAGGAAGTGGAGGCATTGCTGTGCTTTCTTGAATATTGTGTCAACGTAGAGGGACCAGGCCAGATTGTCGGTATCATCACTCCCAGGAACTTGACGCTCTCGACCATCTCCACCTCAGCACCATTGATACAGACAGGGGTGTGCCCTCCAGTCCGTTTCCTGAAGTCAATGACCAACTCCTTTGTTTTGCTGACGTTGAGGGAGAAATTGTTGTCTTTACACCATGTCGCTAAGCACTCAATCTCTTTCCTGTATTCTGTCCCTTCATTGTTCGAGATCCAACCTACAATGGTCAGCAGCAAATTTGTAATTGGAGTTGAGATGGAATTTGGTCACAGAATCGTATGTATATAAGGTGTATAACAGAGGGATAAGTAAACAGCCTTATGGGGACACCAATATTGAGGATTCTTGTGCAGGAGGTGCTGTTGCCTATCCTTACTGATTGCGGTCTGTTCATCAGGACGTCGAGGATCCAGTTACAGAAGAGGGAGCCGAGACCTAGGTCTCGGAATTTGGAGATGAGGTGTTTTGGAATTATGGTGTTGAAGGCAGAACTGTAGTCAATAAGTAGGAACCAAAAGAACTGCGGATGCTGTAAATCAGGAGGGAGGGTCACCTGACTCAAAATGTTAACTCTGATTTTCTCTTCACAGATGCTGCCAGACCTGCTGAGATTTTCCAGCAACTTCTGTTTTTCTGTCAATAAGTAGGAGTCTGACGTAGGTATCCTTGTTATTCAGATGTTCCAGCGATAAGTGTAGGGCCAAGGAGATGGCATCTGCCGTGGACCTGTTGCAATGGTCGCTGAATTGTGAAAGATCAAGGAAATCTGGGAGGGTTAGGTCACCCCACCAATTTTCACAAAGGAGAGGGAGAAGCCACGATGATGCGGTGGCTCAGTGGTTAGCCCTGCTGCCTCACAATAAAATAGAATAGAATATCCTTTATTGTCACGTGTACTCTAGTACAGAAGTACAGGTGTACAGTGAGAAGCTTTTACAATGGCTGTCTTTTAATGGCGCCATCTTAGGTACAAGTACCGAGATACAAAACTTAGAGTAAAATAAAATTTTGTTGTATGAAATGGGATTAAAAGGTAAGGTTTTACGTTACAGTCTGGTAAGAGTACCATACAGCAACAGCTCAGCACATGGCGCCAGGCCCAAGTCCAACAACTGTCCCACATCACACCAGCATCTAGTCAGCTCCTCACTGGCACTCAGTGGCAACAAGATAAGTCGCGCTTTGCCTCCTTCGCGCCACTCCAGGATTTGGGATTCCCCACACGGTGTTCCAGGGCTTGCAGCCCACGCAGTGTTTCGGCTCATTCCCCAGGCTTGCCGATTTTTGCTTCCGTTGCTGAGGAGAGATAATGGGACAGAAGAAGAAAAGACAGAAGACAAAAAGAACAGGCAGGGCACAGGAGCTCCGGCACAGTGCCAGGGACCCATCCCTCAGGCAACTGTATGAAGTTTGCACGTTCTCCCTGTATCTGCATAGGTTTCCTCCCCCAGTCCAAAGATATGCAGGTTAGGTGGATTGGCCGTGCTAAATTGTCTGGGGACATGCAGGTTAGATAGATTAGCCATAGGAAATGAGGTGTTACGGGGATAGGATGGCATGCTGTTCGGAGGGTCAGTGCAGGTTTGATGGGCTGAATAGCTGCTTTCCACACTGTATATTCTAGGTTGGAGAATGAGCTGCAGCATGGAGAGAAGCATGAAGGTGCAGTGGTTGGAGGGGCAATACTGAGGGCAGAAAGAGTAGAGATGGGAAAGAAAGGACAGAAGGTGAAAAGGAATTGGAGGGAAGAGGCAGGAGTTGGGTGCACAAGAAAGAACTTTTAGGGGAAGTTTGATGGGGGAAAGAAAAGTGGTTGAAAGGGTTTGGACTCGGAACTGGGTGAGGCCAGTCTGGGCATTAGTTGGAGTGAGAAGAGGAGGGGGCAGGTAATCAATGGATGGAGAGGACAGGAATAAAGGCAGAATAGCCCCATTGGTAATCATGTTCTGAGGCAACAAACTTTGTTTCATTGTGACCAAGATTCTGTATTTAGCGTGAGCTGTTCTAGAGTGGCCCATTTTGAATGTTATTGCAATAAACACCTTTAAAATATTTGTTACTTAATCAAATTCAGGAGGAATTTCAGCGAGAAAGGTCACATCACGTATCCACATTGCAATCTTGTTTATTATTTGGCCTTCTAGGGTATGTAGCTAAAAAAAGCCAGCATTTATCACCCATCCTTAATTGCTCTGGGGTGAGCGATAAACTGGTCTGAATGACACTGAGTAATTGGGATCTTATTTGGGTCAGATGAAAGGGAAAATGGAGCAGAATGTGACAATGAGAGAGCCTAGTCTTTTATCACACTTTTTTTTCATCTCCCTAGATCTCTTTACACCACTGCCACTTTAATGATCGCCTTCTCCACTGCAGGTGAGTCTAACACCTTGATGCTTGTTCGAAGTCTTAGCAAATGCGTAAGGATGAAATCCAGTCCGTAAAGCCTGTCAATAATTACCTAAAATATACAGAACCGAAAGATGTTATTCATTCTCATAATTTACTAATATTCCTTCCTGTCATAAATTCTCTCACATATCTGAATAATCATTATTGATTAGCACTCAGACTTCATAGAATCCCTACAGTGTGGCAGCAGACCATTTGGCCCATTGAGTCCACACCAACCCTCTGAAGAGCATACCACCCAGAGCCACCCCACTACCCTATCCCTGTAACCCTGAATTTCACATGACTAAACCACCTAACCTCCACATCTTTGTACCTGTGGGAGGAAACTTATGCAGGCATGGGCAGAATGTGTAACTCCACACAGACAGTTGCCTAAGGGTGGAATCGAACCAAGGTCCCTTGCACTGTGTGGGAGCAGTGCTAACCACTGAGCCACCGTGCACTTATCTTGGTTCACATTAAATACACATACTGTTCATCTCAACCAACTCATTGGTAAGCAAATTCCACATCATCCCCTCTCCCTGGCTTTGTGTTGTGTTCCCCATTGGATTCATTGATGAGTATCAGACATCGATGACCCACAGGCCCTCAAGTTGAACTTGACCTCTGTATCCTTCATCCGAAGGCTTCCTAATTCTAATGATCTTCATTACGGATCCCTCAGTTTTCTGAGAGAAAAGAGATTCAGCCTCCGTTCCTTTTCTGACACTTAAACCCTCACAAGTTCTTTTACCCCTTCTCTATGCACTCCCTGGGATGCCTCATTAGTCTTTACACGATGTGGTGACCTGAAATGCACATTGTTTTCCAAATACTACGAAACGAAATTCACATAATTTTGGAATGATTTCCGTTCTTTGCTATTTTATCCTTCTGGAAAATTCCCAAATAGTTGTTATCTATTGCCTGATTAATCTGCCTTGCTCCTTCTCCTAGATTGTGCTTTGGACTCTCTGGTCCCTTTACTCATTTGTCCTCTTTAGATTATTGTTTGTTTTTTCACAGTTGATACAGGTTGTCTATTCCCTGTCCAAAATGCAGCAATTCCAGTGTAAGCTTGTCAGTACTTATTTGTAAATGAAGTGCCCAATCCCATGCTTTCTCACACTGTGTTGTGGTCTTCCTTAGTATTGACTGTTCCCTTTCAATTTAGTGTCATTGGAAACTCATGTGGACAATGGAATGGAGAAGATGGAAGTAACATGTTTCTTTTGAAGTCCATGTTGCTAAATTTGGGGAGAAAAAAGCAGCAGTGCTGTCATCAGTGTTTGACTGTGTGAGGAATATATGAAGATTTACCGCCGTTGTGCTTAAAGTAATTCTTCTTTACCTAAGGATTGGGTTCGGGTTAGGGTTAGCGATCCTCTTATAAACTGTTATTGGCCCTGGAAGTTCTAGCTGCTGTACAGTCATCCAGGGTCTGTAGCCCAGAACATGGGTAATGAAGCTAGACCCATGATAAACGGTAGTAGGGACCACCTTCTGAACCTTCAGTCTCCCTTGGTAATGAATGAGTTCTCAATTCGCTGTACTCTCTGCTTTCCACACTAAAGCCTAGTCATGAAATGTTGTCAGTACAGAGAGCTTCTGTGTCTACATATTCCTCAGTCCCATTGTGAAACATTCCCCTTTTCCGAATCTGGAAAAGGATGGGAAGACATTGAAGCTTACTGTCAGAGGATGTGAATGGAGTGAGTACAGGACCAGCACAGCAGCAGTGCAGAGGTATACATTTATTATCAGAGGGACAGTACTGAGGCAGGACTGGTCTGCTGAATGTGCAGCCAGGAGTGGGATCGATACACTGTCATAGAGGCTATCCAGAGAGAACTTTTAACATTGAAGGAGGAGAATTGATGATCAAATAAACTTGCAAAGTACGGCTAATGATTAAGGGCTTCGCAGTGCAGGGGCAGTACTGTGGGTATCACTGGAACATAGGAACGGGAGGAGGCCATTCAGCTCCTCAAGCCTGTTCCACCATTCAATGACTGGTCTGTGGCCTAACTCCATATCTTTGGCCCATATCTATTAATATCTTTGCTGTACCAAAGTTAAGCTGCCCGACATATACTTTTCAACTCACGCTGAAGATGCATTAATCATAGAAGCATACAATCCCTACAAGTGCAGATAGAGGTCATTCAGCCCAGTGAGTCTGCACCAACACTTCAAACAACATCCCACCCTATCCCTGTAACCCTGCACTCCTGTGGCCAATCTACCTAACCTACACATCCATGGACACTATGGACATTTTAGCATGACCAATCTACCTAACCTGCACATCTTGGACTGTGGGAGGAAACCAGAGCACCTGGAGGAAATCCACGCAGACATGGGGAGAGCATGCAAACTCCACACAGGCAGTCACCTGAGGGTGGAATTGAACCCAGGTCCCTGGCACTGTGAGGCAGCAGTGCTAACCACAGTGCCACCCAAAAAAGGCATTGCTGAGATTTATATTCAGGATCCCCTGTTCATAAGGCAGGCGCTTTAAGCTATTAAGTAAAATACAGGTTAGAATAAAATCATTCATTCATTAACCCGTTGAGCCCTCCCATATTGCACTGCATCTTTATGGGAGTCCATTGTTCCTGTCTCATTGTTATTGACAGTGAAAATTGTCTGTCTTTTTCCCCACATTTCTACACTGCTTCAAGTGATGGACCACCTTGGCTATAAAGTGTTTGATGATGACATGACACATAGTTGCAGCAACACAAGTCCCTTTTTTATTTTTGTATCTCTTAACATTCTCACCCTCTGTTCTCTCGCAGCTTCTGCAGTACTGCTGTTCCCTGCAGCCTGCATGATTGCAGGAGGTGGAATCCTCTTCTTCACAACCAATGTACAGGTAACAGCCAATCACTTGGCAGAATATCTACAGGGAACTTTGCACTGTCAGAGACTCAACATAGAGACAAACTCAGAGATTGCTGAAGAAACTCAACAGGGTCTTGTAACATCTATAGAGAGAGAAACTGAGTTAATGTTACAAGTCCAGTGACCCTTCTTCATAACCCTTCTTCAGTTGAGGGTGTACAGCCCTGTCACAGAGTCAGTACTGAAGGAGTGCGACACTGCTGGGCTTCAGTAAGCATGCAGTATTACAGGATCAGCATTCCGAAAGTGTGGCAGTGTCTCATGGGACAGTACTGAAGAGTTCTGTATTGTCAGTCTGATAGTACTGAGGGAGCCCTGCATTGTATGAGAGTCTAATACTGAGGGAATGCTGCAGTGCCTGAGGGTCAACACTGAGTTGAGCCTTAACACTAAGTTGAACCTTTAGAGGGATTGACTATTGATTCTGTGTGAACATTGGCTGCATTTCAATGATGAATGTTGGCTAGCCTATCAGTAGTACAGCACGCTCTAATCCAGTAACCCCTCCTCATTACTGACTGGGCAGTATTCCGGTAGTACGGCTGTTCTGACCAAAAACCCCTCAGTACCTGAGACAGTGCAGCGACGTTCTGATACAGTGGAAAAGCAGTACTTCCCCACAAATAGTGTGTAGCACCGCTTCCCAACTAAAGCTCTGAAGTTCGAGGGCTCCCTCAATATTGCCACTCTGACCGTGCAGTGCTGAACCTTCAACAGGGCAAACCCTGGCTGAAAGTCCAGTATTTTAATCAGACTAATCTCTTTCAATGGTGTAGCATGCTCTTCTGATTTTTCTCATCCAGCCCTCCACAGTAGGTCAGCATTTGTTGAGGGCGGTTATTTGTCAACCGCTGTTGGGTCATTGTAGGCCACACCAGCAAATGACTTTCCATCCTTGAAGGGCATCAGCAAACCAGTGGTTAGCACTGCTGCCCCCCTGTGCCAGGGATGGGGTTTAGTTCCAGCCTTGGTCGACTGTCTGTGTGGAGTTTGCATGTTCTCCCTGTGTCTGTATGGATTTCCACCCACAGTCCAAAGACGTGCAGGTTAGGTAGATTAGCCATGGTAAATGTGGGGTTATGGTGGTCTGGTGGATCTGGGCAGAATGCTTTACGCAGGGTCAATGTAGACTTGATGGGCTGAATCACCTCTTTCCACACTGAGGGATTCTATAAATTGACTGAAGATCCCAGCACCTACCGCTCTCTGGGAAAGCAAATTCCACAGATTCACGACCCTATGAGAGAAGTAATTCCTCTTCAACTCTGTGTTAAACTTGCTACCTCTTATGCTAAATTGATGACCTCCCATTTTAGATTGCCCCACATGAGGAAACATCCTCTCTATGTCTATACTGTGCGAGATATAGCTCTCTTAGTGCAAGGCTGAAATTGGATCCAGGCCTATTACCACTCGGAACACACCGCTGATGGCCAGAAGGGTTTGAAGGATTTACATTCCCTACCCGACCCCTCCCAACTCACTGATTGTTTCTGTTCTCTCTGGCCACCAGACTGGGAACCTATTCGGGAACAAACGCTCCACTGTCATCACGCTGTACAATGGGGCTTTTGGATCATCAGCAGCCATGTTTCTACTGGTGAAGGTGAGGTGCGTGACCAGCAAGCTCCATCTCAAAGGGAACAAACAGATGGAGTGCAGGGAGGAATACTGTTCTAAACGGTGCTTCACTTAAACTTAAGTTAGGAGAGTGTGGCAGCAGATAATGTACTAGCCTTAACCACCTTCCAGAAAAAAAATCACTGCCTTTTTAAATTCATTCATGGGTTATAGTGTCACTGGCCATTTATTGCCCATTCTAGAGGGCAGCCTTAAGTCAACCTATGGGTCTAGAGTCCCGTGTAAGCCAGACCAGGTAAGGATGGCAGTTTCCTTCCCTAAAGGATGTCAGTGAACCAGATGGAACAAAAACAGAAGTTGCTGGAAAAGTTCAGCAGGTCTGGCAGCATCTGTGAAGAAAAAAATCAGAGTTAACATTTCGGATCCAGTGTTCTGAGGAAGGGTCACCGGACCAAAGCATGAACTCTGATTTTTTTCTTCACAGATGCTGCCAGACTTGCTGAGCTTTTCCAGCAACTTATGTTTTTGTTCCTGATTTACAGCATCGGCAGTTCTTTTGGTTTTTATTTAGTGAACCAAATGGGTTTTTACAACAATCGACAAGGGATTCATGGTCATCAGTTGCTGGGTCTGTGGATTAATAGTCCAGTGATAATACCACTAGGCCATCGCCTCTCCACCTGCAAGGATGGTAGAGACAGAAACCCTCATCACATTGGGGAAGTATTTAGATGTGCACTTACAATGCTAAGGCTTTGGGCCAAGTGCTGGAAAATGGGATAGGAAAGTTAGGTGCTTGTTTTTGACCGTTGCAGCCTCGATGGGCTGAAGGGTCTTTCTCTGTACTGCTAATCCTCTGTGGATATCTTCCCATTGCCAGAGATAATGGCTGACGGAGAGGCTGGGCAGAATGGTGGTTAACTGTGGAGAATACATGTGTGTGACAACAGCAGAGAATGGACTGAGGTACAAGGAGGTGGCAAAGAAATCAAAGATACAGTAAAATTGAGAGCCAAGGAATGATTGAGGAAGCAGTGAAAAGGCAGGACGGTGTATGAGAGAAGGCTAGAGAGGCATTAGGGACTGAACAGGAATGAATTGGTTGATTGTGTGGACATCACCCTGTGTTTGTGTGGGTTTCCTCCAGGTGCTCCGGTTTCCTCCCACAGTCCAAAGATGGGTTAGGGTGGATTGGCCATGCTAAATTGTCCCATGGTGTCCAGGGATGTGTAGGTTAGGGTGGATTGGCCATGCTAAATTGTCCCATAATGCCCAGGGATGTGTAGGTTAGGGTGGATTGGCCGTGCTAAATTGTCCCATAATGCCCAGGGATGTATAGGTTAGGGTGGATTGGCCGTGCTAAATTACACATAGTGTCCAGGGATATGTAGGTTAGGTGGATTGGCCATGGGAAGTGCAGGGTTACAGGGATAGGGTGGGAAGATGCTTGGAGGGTCAGTGAAAACTCAGTAGGCCAAATGGCCTCTATCTGCACTGTAGGGATTGTGTATTTCTATGAATGAGGAAGAGGTGGAAGGATTAAATGGAGCCTTGTGTGAGCTGGCAGTAATACGTATTTCATTTCTCCTCATGCTGACACATCTTTTCTAGGGTTTGTACGAGTCTGGTGTATCCCTGAGATACACGTTCATCTTCATCAGCTGCTTCAGCTTCGTCCAAATTTGTAGTACCCTTTTCCTGCTCCCACGGACGCAAATTCCCTACCCGCTCCCAAAGGTCTACAGCTACGGGTAAGGAGAAGAACAGTGAGTATGTCTAAATCTGCAATCCAATCAAAGGATTTAGGTGGTTTCTCAAAGTTCAATGGAAAGGCTAGAATCTAATTGAGGAATTTCCAGAGCTTTTCAGAGGGTGGCATAGTGGCTCAGTGGTTAGCACTGCTATCCAACAGTACCGGGGACACAGCCTTGCTCCGGTTTCCTCTCACAATCCAGAGATGTGCAGATTGGCTATGCTAAATTTCCCCATAGTGTACAGCCAAGATCCTATTGAATGCTAGAGCAGGCTGAATAGCCTACTCCTGTTCCTATATCTAATGGATTGAATCAAGATTGAACCCTTGAATTGATGGTAATGGCAAAATGGGGAATATGTCAGTCCATGACGTTACAGATTATGATTGAATACGGTGCTGCTGCTGTTGAGGGCCCAAATTTCCTTCATGATGCCCAGTTTTGAGTCATGCAATCTGGTGAAATTGATCATATTTAGCAGAATAATAGTCTCATTCAACATAACAGAAGAAATCCTTAGTGTGAATGATGGAATCCTTCTACATAAGGACTCAGCAGAGACCGCCCGTATCTATACTCTGATGGGAGATGCCTCTGTTATAAGTAAGTGGTCAAGTCAAATAGGTTTTGCCCTTCTTGTTGATGCCCCCAGCCCCTGCCATAGACCAAGTGGAGCAGTTGTATCCTTTACGTTTGAATGTTGGTCTTGTAGAGACACTCTTTGTAATGGATATTAAAGTCCTCCACCCAGAGCACATATGTTCCCTTGCCATGCAGTGTTCACCCCATTTGGAGTTCCACATGAATGGGTACTGATTTATCTGTCGGAATTGCCCCTTTCTGTCTGTTGTGTACCATCCTGCATTAATTAGATATCCCCTCTTCGTTTGTACAAAATAGTTTTGATTGTCCGAATTGTGCCTTGTACTTTACAAACAGATTCTTTCCCTGTTTGGATAGGATCACTTGGACACATTTCGGATTGAAATCATCATGCCAAGAGCAGGAAACTATGAGCCAGATGAAAGCTGTAAGAAGTGGAGATGGAACCGTGAGGTGGACCCCCAGGAAACGGATGGAGCTGGAAGAGCCTGACAGGCAGATGTTTAAAATCATACAACCAGACGGGGGAGACGGAATGGAAAAGGAGGAAATGATTGATAGTTTGAAAACTCAGACCAAAGGACCAGGAGGTTCAAAAACATTCTCCCTCTCTGCCACCCATTCCCACCCTCTCTCCTGTCTTGTCAATTCCCTTTTCTCCTTCCTCCTGTCCTTCCCATTGGGCCAAGGAGTACGAGATGGAGTTTAATGCAGATAAATTCAAGGTGTTGCATTTTAGTAAGGCAAGCCAGAGCAAGAATTGCACAGTTAATGGTAGGGCTGTGGAGAGTGTTGTCGAAAATAGAGACGTAGGGGTGCGTAGTTCCTTGAAAGTAGAGTCACAGGTAGACAGGGGTGATGAAGGAGGCGCCTGGCATGCTTGCTTTCATCAGTCAGAGTGTTGACTATAGGAGTTGGGATGTTTGTTACAACCTTACAAGATATTGATAAGGCCACATTTGGAATGATGCATGAAATTCTGGTCGCCCTGCTTTGGGAAGGACGTTGTTAAATTGGAAAGGGTGAAAAGAGGATTTACAAGTAAGTTACCGAGACTGGAGGGTTTGAGTTATAAGGAGAGGTTGGGTAGGCTGGGACTTCTTTCCCTCAAGTGTAGGAAGCTGAAGGGTGACCTTATAGAGGTTTATAAAATCATGAGGGGCATGGATAGGGTGAATAGTTAAGATCTTTCCCCCAGGTTAGGGGAGTCCAAAACTAGAGACATAGGTTTAAGGTGAGAGGAGAAAAATTTAAAAGGGACATGAGTGGCAACATTTTCTCACAGAGGGTGGTGTGTGTATAGACCAAGGTGCCAGAGGAAGTGGTAAAGGCGGGTGCAGTTGTACCATATAAAATACATTGGAACAAGTGCATGGATAGGAATGGTTTAGAGGGATACAGGCTAAATGCAAACAAATGGGACTAGTTCATTTTAGGAAACGTGGTCGGCATGGACAAGTGGGGCCAAAGAGTTCAATTGCAGGCTTCGTGAGGAAAACGTGTGAGAGTTGGAATTATGTCATGAAACATCTCAAAAGGCCAGGACAATCAGAAGGGGTCAAAGGTCACATTCTGTTGCCTCAGCTGTTGTGCTGAGGGAATGGAAGGTTTCTGCCTGCCACTACTTTTGATTTTGTTCTTGTTTTTCAGTGATCTGCGCAAATACGGACTTGTTTCTCTCTTCCTCAGCTCTTCCCCCTTTTAACTCTTTGTTTGTCCCCCCCGCCTCCCCTGCTACAACCCAACAAGCAGCGGAAAAGGACATCCCCTCGTTCAGGAGCTGCATCCTCTCAAAGGTCTTCTTCACTCACCTGCTCTGGCTTTCAGTCATACAACTCCGGCATTTGCTCTACATCGGTACCCTCAACCCCATGCTCAACCTGCTCGCCAACGGTGACTCCAGGCAAGGTAAGGAGGTAGAGGAGAGTATACTTATGGCAGAGGGTACCACTGGGGTGTTGAAAGAGAAGGAGAGAGACTGCGACAATGGAAGGGAGGAAATAGATTGGCACGGCTATGAAGATTAAAAACAGAAAAATGCAAGAAAAAGGGTGTGTAGATCTATTTGGTGGAATGGCAGCTAGTGAGATAACATTTATTGCTGAGTCCTAATGAGCACCTCACTCTGCATTTCACGGCTAGCCACGGTTCTACTTTCACATAAACAGGAGGCTGGGAAAGCACTGGGGCTGGGAGCTGAGCCCCAGTGGCTTAATGGATAAGGCAGTGGCCTCCTAAACCAGCGATTGTGTGTTCATGTCCCATCTGGGGTGTTTGGCCATGGGGCCCTCATGTGGTGCAGTGGAACCATACCTACCTCTGGACTGAGAGACCCAGGTTCAAGACCCACCTGCTCCATAGGTATGTAGTGACATCTTGAGCAGGTTGATTAGGGGGCAAGGCCTTATAGCTTTTCACCACAATACACAGTGATTTTCAGTCCAGATTTAGATATTTGTTTTTAAGCAACCTGTCCAGGAATGTTACGGCACAACTCTGGAGCAGGTAGGACTCAAATCCTGACCTCCTGGCTCAGAGGTATAGACACTACCACTGCACCACAACTGTCCTCCAGTCCAGGTTTATTAATCACATTTAAATTTCACAAGCTGTCATGGTGTGATTTAAACCCATCTCTAGAGAGCATTATGCTGGCTGTCAGAATTACTGCCTTGTAACATTGCAACGTCGTCACCATCTCTCCCAATAGAGGCAGAAATGGGAGTCAGTGGTAATGAGAGGGAAAGCAAGAGATGGTCAATAGGACGGGAGAGTTTCCTCTCCCTGGTTTCAGGGTAGCAGCTGGTGACTGGGGAAGTTTCGCACAGGTCAGTGTTAGGATCACAACTATAGACATTATATATTAACCATCTAGACAAAGGATTGAGGGCATTGTTGCTATGTTTACAAATGACACAAGGGTAGGTTGGAGGGACAGGTAGTGGGGAGGCTGCAGAAGGACTTGGACAGGATAGGAGAGTGAGCGAAGAAGTGGAAGATGAAATTCAGTGTGGGAAAGGATGAGGTTATGTACTTTGGTAAGAAGAATCAAGGCATAGACTATTTTCTAAAAGGGGAACAGCTTCCAAAATCTGAAGCACAAATAGACTTGGAAGTCCCAGTTCAAAATTCTCTTCAGGTTAACATACCAGCTCAGTTGGCAGTTAGGAAGTCAAATGCAATGTTAGCATTAATTTCAAGATTGCTAGAATACAACAGCAGAGGTGTATTGCTGCGGATGCATATCGCTCCGGTCAGACTGCATTTGGAATATTGTGAACACTTTTGGGCCCCTTATCCAAGGAAGAATATGCTGGCCTTGGAGGGGGTTTGGAGGAGGTTTACAAGAATGATCCCAGGGATGAAGGGCTTGTCATATGTGGAGAGGTTGAGGGCTCTGGGTCTGTACTCAATGGAGTTTAGAAGGATGAGAGGAGATTGATTAAAACTTACAAAATACTGAGGTCTGAATAGAATCAACAAGGAGAAGATGTTTCCATTGGTAGGAGAGACTACGACCCGAGGGCACAGCCTCAGAGTGGAGGGATGACCCTTTAGAACTGAGATCAGGAGGAATTTCTTCAGCCAGAAGGTGGTGAATCTGTGGGACTCATTACTGCAGAAGGCTGTGGAGGCCAAGTTATTGAGTGTCTTTAAGGTAGAGATAGGGTGGGTTCTTGATTATAAGGGGATCAAGGTTTAGGGGGAGAAGGCAGGAGAATGGGGTTGGGAAACATATCAGCCATAAACGAATGATGGAGCAGACTCAGTGGGCCGAATGGCCTCATTCTGCTCCTCTACCTTATGGAGAGAGAAAAAGAGCAAAGGTTAGAGCACAGAGTTTAAATTCTGCATTGGAGTGGGTGACATTTTGCTGATGTGCACTCTCAAGGTAAGGAGCCAGCTCCCTGTGTCTCAGGACTTCTGACTCTGTCTGTCCATCCAAGGGTAAGATCTCAGCCCCATGTAAAACATACACTCTGCACATTGAGCATGAGCTCAGCAGCTGTTCCTGGAGCAGCAATTCAGTAACATGAGCTGAAAGGCAACAGCGTCTGATTAAGTATCAGCAATAAAACTGGGAAATCCATTGTTTGTGTTCTGAAATCAATTAGCAATGGTGACCAGGGGGAATTCAAATTGTGGTAACACGAAGTTGGCCTACTAATGTGTTTTTGGGAAGCTAGTTTGCAATATAAAACCTGACCTACCATTTCTAAGTGATTGCTAGGATATGGTTTTCAGTCTGATTTAATTTTCCCCTAAGTTTAATCCTTACCTTCCAACTTCACCTTCAGGGACAAATGAAATCACCACTTCCTGAAAGCCAGTGCATGAAGTGTATAACTGGACAGAAGCTTGGTAAACTTCCATCATCTTTTGTTTGGAAGGTTGCACTGTAGAAAACAACAGCTTCCCTCCCCACCACCACCTTCCTGAGGATAATGCGTACGAGCCTTGGCAGTTCAGCACTTGTTACAGTTACAGTTTACTCATCCCTCTTTTTTTTGTTTCTGTCCCTCAGTAGGCAGACTGACAAATGCCTTTGCCATCACACAAATGGGCAGTGTTTTATGTGCCCCGTGGAACGGGCTGATTATGGACCGGCATAAACGCAAAGGGAAACCAGCAGCTGGTGCCTCAGGTAATTGAAGTTTCATGCTACACCTCTGTCCCTGGTGTTCAATCACCCAGTTCCCAATACACAAATTCAGAAGGCAATTCCTAGAATTGTTCAGGGCAGAAGACAAGTAAATTTTAAAGATTGTGAGGTTTCCTGCCTCAACTACCCTCCCAAGCAATGCATTCCACACACCCGCTACGCTCTGGGTGAAGATCTTTTTCTTCAAATCCCCTCTCAACCTCCTGCCTCTCACTTTGAAATGATGCCATCTTGTTATTGACCCCTCCATAAGGGGAACGGCTGCTTTCTATCCTGTCCATGCCCCCTTGTAACCTCATACACCTCTATCAGGTCCCTTGTCAACCTTCTCTACTCCAAAGAAAACAACCCGAGCTTATCCAGCCTCTCTTAATTGCTGAAAAGCTCCATCCCAGGCAACATCCTGGTGAATCTCCTCCAGTGCAATCATATCCTTCCTATAGCATGGAGACCAGAACTGCACCAGAACTACTCCAGCTGTGGCCTAACCAAAGTCCTGTACAGTTCCAATATGACCTCCGTGTTCTTATAATCTGTGCCTCGACTGATAAAAAGTAAGCGTTCCACCCACATTCTTCACTGTTCTACTAACTAACCTTCAGGGGTTTGTGGACAAGCACCCCAAGATCCCTCTGTTCCTCTGAGCTTCCCACTGTCCTGCCATTCATTGAGTACTCCCTTGTCCTGTTTCTCCTTCCAGAGTGCATCACCTCACATTTATCAGTGTTACATTCCAAAGACCTTGGAATGCAGGTTCATAGCTCCTTGAAAGTGAAGCGCCAGGTAGACAGTTCTGAGGAAGGGTCACTCAACCTGAAACATTAACTCTTATTTCTCTCCATAGATGCTGCCAGACCTGCTGAGCTTTTCCGGCAATTTCTATTTTTGTCCCAGGTAGACCAGATAGGGAAGAAGGCGTTTGGTATGCTTGCCTTTATTGGTCAGTGCATTGAGTATAGGAGTTGGGAGGTCATGTTGAGGCTGTACAGGACATTGGTTAGGCGACTTTTGGAATACTGTGTTCAATTTTGCTCTCCCTGCTATAGGAAGGATGTTGTTAAACTTGAAAGGGTTCAGAAAAGATTTACAAGGATGTTGCCGGGGTTGGAGGGTTTGAGCTGTAGGGAGAGTCTGAATAGGCTATGGTTATTTGCCCTGGAGTGAAGGAGGCTGAGGGGTGACCTTACAGAGGTTTATAAAATAATGAGAGGCATGGATACGATGAATAGCCAAGGTCTTTTCTCTAGGGTTGGAGAGTCAAATCTAGATGGCATAGGTTTAAGGTGAGAGGGGAAAGATTTAAAAGGGACCTAAGGGGCAACTTTTTCACACAAGGTGTGGTGCGCGTATGGAATGAGCTGCCAGAGGAAGTGGTGGAGGCTGGTACAGTTACAGCATTTAAAAGGCACCTAGATGGGTATATGATTAGTAAAGGTTTAGAGGGATAAGGGCCAAATGCTGGAAAACAGGACTAGATTAATTTAGGATATTTGGTCGGCATGGACAAGTTGGACTGAAGGCTCTGTTTCCATGCTGTACAGCTCTATGACTTTCTGATGCTATCTCAGGTATAAACATTCCATTTCCTTCCAACTTCCAAATGCCATAGATTCTATGAATCTAAGTGTGATCATGAAACTCCAAATTGAAATTAATGCCAGTGGGATATCTCCTGATCCACTCCATCATAGTCTCGGTTCACCTTGGTGTCAATACTGGGTGCCTTACCAGACTCGATAAAATGCAGATCACTCCCAGTCCCAGGTAATCCAGGTTTAAACACACCATTCACTGATGCTGCTGTGGTTGGAATATGTCTCTTTCCTACAGGCAGGGATTATCTTCATGGCTGTTTTGGTGATTACTGAGTGCTGATCAAATGTTTGTTGGTATAGTTTAATCTTCCTCCTCTTTATTCCCCCACCCCCAGAGGATTGTGCCACCTCGCAGAAGCTGGCTGCCATGAAGTCGGCAGTACTGTCTCTCACCATTACTGTCACACAGGCTATCATGTTTGCCGTCTGTGCCACCATCCCTGTGCTGGAGGCTCAGTACCTGACCTTCATCTTACAAGTGGTCACTCGCGCGTTCCTGTACGGAGGGGATGCAGCATTCATCGCTCTCGCGTAAGTCAGTGCGCGACTCCTAAACCTGTTTCGCATGGCAACACTGTCAAAGACTTGATCTGCTGCTTTGGGAGCAGGAGTCTAGATAGACTCTGATACACTGAGTGGTCTGGCATCCTCAAACGGGGGCCACATCATCAGAGTCTTCCCAGACCCATTGGTCTGCTCCCTCAGAGAGAGAGACAGACAGACAGACAGAGGCAGCTGGTGGTGGTTTAACCTGAGGTTCTCAGGCCAGGACAGATGTTGAGAAGGAGAATCCTACATGGTGACCTCAGCGGGAATGGGAATTGAACCCATACTGTTGGCATCACTTCCCAGCCATCCAAGCTAACCCAACCGCTGGGGTGAGGTGGGGTTGGGGTGCAGTCAGAAGCCAGTTGTCATGCTGGGTCTAGGATTCCCAGGACTAATAATCCAGGCCGGAGCCAGCTTACTTCAGAGGCATATGGAAACCAGAGTCCTGTAGATTGCGCAGGGAGGAGACGCTGGTCTAGTGATTTTGTCACTGGGCTATTAATCCAGAGACTCCGGAAATGTTCTCCCCACTTGGATTCAAATTCTGCCATGGCAGATGGCGGAAGTTAAATTCAATTCAAAAACATCTGGAATTAAGAGTACACCAATGATCATGAAACTGTTGTTGACTTGTGAAAAACCCAACTGGGTTCACTAATTTCCTTTAGGGAAGGAAACTGCCATATAACTTGTGAAGCTGGAAAAGCACAACAGGTCAGACAACATCCAAGGAGCGGGAAAATCAATGATTTGGCCAAAACCCTTTTGTCTGATCTACTGTGCTTTTCCAGCTTCACATTTATTGACTCTGGCTTCCAGCATCTGCAGTCCTTACTGTCTCCATGCTATCCTCACCTGGTCTGGCCTACATGTGACTCCAGGCCCACAGCAATGTGGTTGACTTTTAATTGCCTTCTGGATAATTAGGGATGGGCAATAAATGTTGACCCAGGTAGCAACACCCACATCCTGTGAAGGAATTAAGAACTTTTAAAAATTGCGTTGAATGCATTCACGCTGTTAGAGTTGGATCCCCGTATCCTGCAAACTCTCGCTAGCCTCTTACATCAGGGATTTTGAGAGGAGATCCATCTCAGGCATGACACTGTGGCGTAGAAAGGGTTCAGTTGTGGAACAGATCAAAACCAGCCTCCAGTAAATACCATGTAGTGTACGTTCCTTTAAGAAATTCGGGCGAGAAATACTGACCCAACAAAAGGCCAGAATGTGAAACCCACTATTACAATGAGTGGTTAGGAACAACAGTATAGATACATTCACGGGTAAGCTGGACAGACACTTGAGGGGGAAATATTTTAAGAACATAACAGCTAGGAGCAGGAGTAGGCCATTCAGCCCCTCAAGCCTGCTCTGCTATTAAATACAATCATTGCTGATCTCATCACAGCCTCAACTTCACTTTCCTGCCCACTGTCCATAACCCTTCAACCCATTGCTCATTAAAAATCTGTCTATCTCTTCCTTCAATTTACTCAATGATCCAGCATCCACTGCACTCTGGGGGAGTGAATTCCACAGATTCTCGACCCTTTGAGAGAAGGAATTTCTCCACATCTCTGATATAAATCTGCCAGCCCTTATCTTAAAACGATGGCCTTTCGTTCTAGATTGCCCCACACGAGGAACCATTCATTCTACATCTACTTTGTCAGTCCCCTTCACCATATTATATCCCTCTATTAAATCTCTCATTCTTCTAAATTCCACAAATTGTAGGCCTAAACCTGTTCTTTCATGAAATGTAGGCATTAATTGCAGCATTTGTTGTCCACCCTTAATGGCCATTGGAGGCACTCAGAGACAACCACGTCACTGTGAATTTGAATCATAGGCCCATGTGTGGGCCAGGCCATGTTAAAGATGTCAGAGTGCCTTCCCCAGACTGTACCCATGAACTAGAGGCTGTCTGTTTTGAATGAATCAACAACAGCTTCATTGTTACTGTCGCAGAGAGGAATTCGATAATACAGATGATTTGTTGTGAAGCAAAATTTAAATTCGAGTTTAGTTAGTTTGACACAACAGGATTTGGAACCATGTTTCAAAAGACAGCACATGCCTGGGTTTAGCAATGACTGGCACTGTGATATTACCATGACACCAGATTTCTACTGATATGGAGATGGATCAATATCAGATGTGTGCAAGGTCACTCATCTTATACATAAAATCGAGCATGTACTTGTGCTGGTTGGCCTCTTTCTCAACGGGACACCGTGAAGTTTGAGTTCATAATCTCTTCCATCTCTCTCTTCTTGTCCCATGCAGGTTTCCTTCCTGCCATTTTGGGAAGGTCTATGGACTGATGCAAGCTCTCTCAGCTGTTGTCTCTCTGCTTCAGTATCCTTGCTTCGCTTTTATCCAGGGAACCTTGCAAGGTGACCCACTTTATGTGAGTACCGGCATGTAGCGATGACCCAACTCTCTCAATGATTAGACACCAGAGATTCTGTTGTCAATGCAGAGGCAAATATAACTAATTTGTATGATAGAAAGTTTCTCATCTATCTCCTGTGGTTCGACACATAGACAGCCTTGTTGATCTTTAAGGGGCCCTATTCTCTCCCTAGTTACTCTTCTGCCCTTAATGTACTTGTAGACTCTCTTAGGATTCTCCTCAACCTTAGGAAAAAGCTATCTCATATCTGCTTTATGCCCTCCTGATTTTCCTCTTAAGGATACGCCTATATTCCCCCATATTCCTTCAGGGATTCACTTGATCCCAACTCTCCCTTCTTTGTCTTCACTCAGGATAGGCTGGGACTTTTTTCCTTGGAGCTTTGGAGGCTGGTGTGTGATCTTGTAGAGGTTTATAAAATCATGAGGTACAAGGATAAGGTGAAAAACCAAGGTCTTTATTCCCAGGGTAGGGAAATACAAAACTAGAGGGCATAGGTTGAAGGTGCAGGGGGAAAGATTTAAAAGGGATCTGAGGGGCAACTTTTTCATGCAGATGGTGTTGCATGTATGGAACGAGCTCCAGAGGAAGTGGTGGAGGCTGGTACAATTACAACATCTAAAAGATAGGGTACACGAATAGGAACGGTAGAGGGAATTGGGCCAAATGCAGGCAAATGGGATTAGTTCAGCTGGGATACCTGGTCAGCATGGACAAGTTGGACCAAAGAGTCTGTTTCCGTGCTGTATTACTTGGTGACTGCACAGAGATTTCATGAGAGAGAGAGAGAGAAAAAAACACTGACACAAATAGGTCAAGACACAGAACAAGAAACCTTGAGTTGAATTTGCTATGCCTCTCCCATTGGACTGGTTTCAAAGACCAAGGTCAACCCCAGGTCTTTAAGAGTCCTGAATCTGTGAAAAATTGATGTAAACCTACCAACTCACCTCCTAAAAGCAGTGTTAAAAAAAAGTGTTTAAAAAAAAATAAGTAATAGCAATGTAATGTAGGTACACACATCACTGTAATACCTTATTTACAGCATAAATACTCAAACATCATGGTAGATCACGGTATTTAAAGCATATAATTTTATTGCTGCTTTATCAAGTGCTGGTTGATAAGGTGCCACTTAAACCCAAGCTCGCTGTACTAGCTTATTCCTGTCTGTGGGATTGTACACATCACGGCAGACTAGAAACAATGCAAACTTCTTAATGAATATGTAAGAGAGTGCACTTGAATGCATTCACAAATGTGGAAGCAGAGTTGTATGAAGAAAGTTCTATCCTTCTCTTTGGCACTGAGAAGATGGAGAGGAGATTTTATAGGGTATTTGAAAAATTGGAATATTTTGGCAAGGAAAGTGACAGGAAACAGTTTCTATTGGTGACAATGTTTCCATAGCAATAGAAGCAGGGCAACAATTTCAGATAGTGACCCAGAGGTGACTTGGTGGTACATCTGTTCAAGGAATGAATGATTTTGATTTGGAATGAATTGGAAGGGGATGAGAGTTGTAATTGCAGTATTCGAACAGGTACATGATAAACACAAGAAAAATTATGACGAGTGAAAATTCAGTAAAAATCGCAACAATTCAGGGGCAGCAGGAAGAAATACTGTACGGTTGAGTTCAGTAGATTAGCTCTTAAGGACCTATCAGAGGCAGAATGGGCAGATTGTCCAGCTATTCTGTAATGGGCAACGATTCGTTGAGAACTGTGTGAGAGGACTTCTTCCTAGAGACTCACTCTGTCATTTTATTTTTCTTTTTGTTGTGACCTTTCATACGCAGCTGAATCTCGGATTCGTCGCCGTGCTAACCCTGGCGTATGTCCATCCCATAAACATCTACCTCCGCTGTCGACAGGAGACCCAGAGGGAAAGCACATGCACACGCCGCTGGGTTCAAGTGGCAGCTCAGCAAGGATGACAGGAGGGAGAGAGAGGGATGTGCGCTGACTGGGGGAAAGGGGATTGCCGGGTGGGAAAGGGGATTGTGCAGAGGGCAGATGGCTACCTTAATGAATATCGTTATGAGCATTATGAGACAACAATCTGTCCATCAACATTAGTAAAACAAAGGAAGTGGAGTGGAGAGCACGCCCCTGTCTGTATCGATGAAGCTGAGGTGGAGGTGATCGAGAGCTTCAATTTTCTGTGAGTAACGATCACCAACAATCTGTCCTGGTCTACCCATATTGACGCTACATTCAAGAAAGCACAACAATGCCTCTACTCCCTCAGGAGGCTGTGGCAAATCAGTATGTCCAAAATGTCTCTTACACCATAGAAAGCATCCTGTCCAGATGCATCACAGCGTGCTATGGCAACTGCTCTGCCCAACGCCACAAGAAACTACAGAGAGTCCTGAACACAGCCCAGTCCATCACCCAAAGCAGCCTTCCGTCCATTGACTCTGCCTCGGGAAGGAAACCAACATCATCAAAACCACCACCCCCCCTACCAGCCACCCCGGTTATACTCCCTACCACCTTCTTCTGTCAGGCAGAAGGTATAAAAGTTTGAATATACGTACCAACAGATTCAAGAACAGCTTCTTGCCCGCTGTCATCACAATTTTGAACAGACCTCTTAAATTTTAATTCTGATCTTTCTCTGAACCTTGTCTGTAGCTGTAACACTATTCTGTACTCTGTCCTATTCTATATATATATAGATCATACCATACATAAGGTGTATGTATGTATATATAATATATGACATATACACACACCTTATGCATGGTTTGATCTGCCTGAATAGCGTGCAAAACAATAGATTTCACTGTATCTTGGTACGTGACAATAATAAATTAAATCAAAGATTCTGTGCAGAAACGTCACATTCGTTTTCTCTGAGTTACATTTTCTTTACAGCATGAGACCACATAAAGTCAGAGTGATATTCGAAGACACCTAAGGTGCAGACTCTATGGTACCCTCTGGAGACATAAACCATGATTGTCATTGAGGCAATTTAATTGCAGAGCAGGACTTTCCAGTGTGTTTTTTCAACCCTCAGGAACACCCAACATGAGCCCCACAGTGGCCAACTTCAAGATAGTTTTAGAAATGCATTGTTTCATGTTTTGTTCATGACTTTTCACCATCTCAAAGCGATGCCTCCATTGCCCACTTGAAAGTACTACAGCCACATGGATGCCCAATGACATTTACAAACATAATCTGTTTTTTGTGTGATAACACGTGAATAGCAGGACTGTATTATAATGGCTTGACTGAAGGCTCCACGCTATCAAAACCAGTGTCACGCAGGACTGTGATATTGTTATGTTGTATCTGATTTCTCACAGGTTTCCCCAGTCATGATCAATAAGTTATTATATTGATAGCAAACTGATCAATCTGAACGCACTGAAGGCTGAATCTAAGAAGACAGCTGCCTTTGTAACATTGCAACAATGTGCTGAAGAAGCACACTGAGTGCTCACTCCAAAGAGAAAAGTGCAACATGTAACTGACATGTTCACCAATGTCTGAAAGAGAATTGAATTTGTCCCGATTATCAAGAGCAAAATGCTTCATACCAGGGCAATAATATTGTCAACCTAATGCATTCAATTGTTATGAAGGAGTAGTCGAACTAAAACCAAAACACCCAGAGAATCTCGCCTCACCTTGTAATCTATTAAAGGAGTGGTTAGATGAAAGAAATCCCTGATAATCACTTTATAACTCAACAAGTAACAATTTATCTAACTCTAACAGTTAACAAATTAACCAAACTACTAACAAACTGAACAATTCCCCATTAACTACTAACTATTCCCAAATAAAACAATATTCTAATGGTATGCTGATCCAATAAATACAAGTCCTGCTTATATAAATGAAAATAATATTTAAAAAAATAAATTAAAACTTAGTGTCTCGAAATTACAGGCAGGATAAGTCTTCTGGAATGTTCCTTGCCCTCTCTGCTGTTTTCCATTCAGGAACACCTTTCTATGTCAAATTCTTGTGTTAGGAATATTAGTTAAGAGTGCTGTAGTACATTTATTTAGATGGTACTTACTCTGAGAGCTGTGAGAGCCAATGAGTTTCTCTTCAGATGGCAGATTGCTCTCAAATGCCCTGTTCTTTTATACCCTTGATTTATCAATTTCTTACAACAGGATTGGTCCTAGGTTGGCAACACCATCAGATTTAAATTTAATTGGGTTTTGGTATCTAGGGCCTGATTTAAATTGATTGGCTAAATTCAAAACCCTGTTGTCTTGGTAAAAAGTGCTGCTTTGCCTGCTCACAGTGTAGCCTTTTGTAACGTGTTTCAATTTTAAGAACTCTGCATCTGCTGCTGCCTGCAGACATTTTTTTAATCTTCAAGCCTAAAAACCACACCATCTTTTAAAGGGACCATGCACTCTGTCCTCCCTATCATTTTACAAACAAGTTCTAACATCTTGCCTCCCAATCCACAAGTATACCGAGTTCGCAACATCTCCCCCCTTAAGAAAAGTGAGCCATCATTATGAAAAGATAACTTCAATTTTTTCCTCTAAATCTTAACGTCATTATTACTAGATACATAGGTTATTTATCTAGAGTTACACATTTCGTACTAATTCTATATACATATATATAACATTTAACACTACCGTGTCTATCTTATATACACATTTTACTTTTAAACCCACGATAACACATCCACAATAACATTTTCACGATCTGCAACATGTATAGTCTGTAAATTAAATGCTTGTAACATAAGACTCCACTGAAATAGCCTGGTGTTCTTGTCTTTAAATCTTTCTAAAAATGTCAAAGGGTTGTGATCAATGTTCTCCAATATACTGCTTGCAACATCAACATTAAAACGTTGCAAGGCCAGTACCAAACTCAATAACTCCTTTTTAAAGGTTGAATACTTTTTCTGGTGGATATTGAGTTTCTTTGAATCTTTCAATCCACAGTCATTGTCCTGTAACAACACCGCGCCAACCCCTACATTGCTTGCGACGATGGCGACTTTAAAGGGTTTCAAGAAATTTGGTGTGGCTAAAACTGGTGCTTTTAAATTCTCAAATGCCTCCTGGCATTGTTCTTCCACTAAAATTTCATGTTCTACTTTAACAAACTCATCAGTGGTGCCACCACACTACTAAAGTTTGGAACAAACCTCTGGTAGAATCTGCTCAGTTCCAAAAATCGTAGAACTTCCTTCTTGGAGTTTGGTCTTGGAAATTCCTTAATGGCCTTCTTCTTAACATTCCTCATTGTCATCCTTCCATGTCCGGTGTTGTGTCTTAAGAATGTCACTTCTGCCTTCATGAATTCTGTCTTTGCCAAATTTATGATCAACTTTGCCTTCTGTAATCTCTCAAAGAGATCTGCCAAATGCACCATGTGATCTTTCCACAAATGGCTAAAGATCACTAAGTCATCTATATAGACGGCACAATTAGTCCATCCTGCCACAACTCTGTTCATAAGTCTTTGAAATGTGGCTGGTGTGTTCTTCATTCCAAAGGGCATTACTTTAAATTGATGCAGCCTATTTGGGGTTACAAACTCAGAAACTTCTTTCACTCTCTCTGACAAAGGTACTTATTGCACTTTCTCAGCAAATGTTTTCTAACGTACTTTCAGAAATTCAAGTGAGAAAGGATTCAAAGGTGAATGAGACCAGCACTGGGCATGTTCACCTGCTTCTTCTAATACCTCAGGGACAACATCGCAAAGGATCGGGCAAAACTGCTCTGAATCTCCAAAGACATTCTTTGAAGAATGAAACAAACGTACAATGTGAGAGATTCACAGACTGCGTCTCCAAAACAATCTTCTGCTTGTGCAGTGGCGTGAGGAGTCCAGCAGAGGGTAGCACTGTATCACTTTAAACATAATAGGGACGAGGTCAAAAATCACACAACACCAGGTATCGTCCAAGATAGTAGGAACTGCAGATGCTGGAGAATCCGAGACAAAAGGGTCTAGGCCCGAAACGTCAGCCTTTCTGCTCCTATGATGCTGCTTGGCCTGCTGTGTTCATCCAGCTCTGCACCTTGTTGACCAGGTATAGTCCAACAGGTTTATTTGAAAACACAAGCTTTTGAAGCCTCACTCCTTCTTCAGGTGTCCACCCCAGTCCAACACCAATACCTCCACAACACAATAGGAACGGACAGAGAGAGAGAGAGTACGACTTTGATTCGCCACATTTTAATCCGTTCATTCAAACTTCCATCAGGACAAAGTGATTCCCATTGAAGGCAGTGAGGGACAAGCTCACAGACACACATAGACAGACAGATACACACACACATGCACATGCATACATAGACATACACATTGAGACACACATCAATATGAGCATCAACATTATCACCTTAAGCACAAGGGAACAGACAGAGATAGAAGGGTTTGATCCCATTTCAATAGCTTCACCACTGAAACAAGAGACCCCATTGCACAAACATACAGACGCAGATACACACGAACATAGATACATTAACACACAACAGACACAAACACACAGAGATAGGCACAGAGACACACACACAGATATACACAAGAGACACAGTGTAACACACACACATGTACCTACAGACACGCATATTCACTCTCACAGATGCACAGACAGAAACATACATCGACAGACACACAGATATAGAGACAGAAGCACACACAGATAGATACAGAGACACAAACACAGAGACAGAAACACACAGATAGACACAGAGTGACACACACAGAGACACACAGACACTCATACATGCAGATACTCATAAACACAATCCCAGAATATAATATTGGAGACACAAAATTGGAAGAGAGCAGCTACTCTCAGTGTAAATAACTCATTCATGATACAGGGCTGGAATTTTGTGTTCAATTTAGGGTACACAAAGAAATGTATACAATACATGTATACCCACACAAACACCTATACACATACAATGAAACAGACAAACAGATACACACATACATACCAACACACACAGGCATACACATGCAGAAACACAGATATTGCCTAAGACAGCAAAAGTGAAGACTCTAATAGAATTCCTTGTTCCTAAAACTAAATGAGAAATTACTGGATTTTTAGGAATGTTTGAGTTTACTGAAAATTTGTGTACAATTTTAGCTAGAGAGCTGTGCCTTTAACAAATTTGTGAAGGAAACAAGCAAAATTGATCTGGTTAGCAGAATGTGAAGTGGCCTTTGAAAGGATGAAGGCATTTTGAATTAATGAACCACTGGTGACCATCCTTGATCTTTCCAAACTTTTCAAAATAGCAGTTGATGCTGGTGACTTGGGGCTGTGTGCTGCTTTTTCAGGATGATGAATCAGGAATAGAGAAACAATACCAGTCACAGGAAAAGAAAATTCACAGAGAAAGAGGCTTTGGGATTGCTGTTGGCTCTTCAACACTTAGAAGTCTATATCTGACAAAAAACAATGAAATGCTAAGTTACACTAATCATAACCCACTGGCCTTCATTGAAAAGTTTCAAATGAAGAATACAAGACTATTCCGATAGAGTCTTTATTGCAACCATTGCATGTAAAGATCAAAGGCATTGCTGAAAAACTTAATGTAATTGCTGATGTATTGTCCCAAGTGTCAAATGCAGGAATAAGTGAAAGCTTTAAGGAATGCTAAGATTGTATAACTTTATAATGAGAAAGAATAAATGGATTATAGTCGTGTTTTATTTTTGTGCATCATTTATTTTGTAAGGATAGTTTTTTTTTGATTTTATTGTATTAAATAAATAGCTTCCAAATGTAGATTTAAAAATGTGTAGAAATTTAAGTATGATTGTTATGTTAATTCTTACAATAAGCAGTCATATGAAATTATTACAAAAG